CAATGAACAATGAACAATGATTTATCACGAGATAAAAGCAAGTGCTTGACATGTCCCGTAGGATGGTAGCGGTGAATATGATGCAATTAAAATATGTGTGGGTCATCTATCGAACGTCTGCCGAGATGAATACTTTGATAATTAACATCAGTGTGAAATGAAAAAGAAATATCGCGCGTAAACATTCAGAAAGACACTGGGGCGCAGTGATAGTTGAGGTAAGGAGTGAGAAAATAAAATATGGTCGCTCACTTAGGTCCATTTGATACATTAGTCCTGTTGAAAACATGCTTGGCGTAATCCACAACAGAGGAGCTTAGGTAACAAAATGTTGGGAGCTGAGAGCAACATCTAATCGTTTTTTGAAAACATCCAGGGTAGGAGAGGATACTACTGAGTCTGAGAGTGCGTTCCATGGTTTGCAAACTCGAAGGGAAAAGTAATTCCGTCGACACTCTAGACGGCTCTATTGTTCCTTCAACTTTAAGCAGTTACCCCTGAGCTGCGTGTTGTGGCTAAGTTTCAGCAAATGGCGGCATACGTGGTTGGGGTCACTCAATATTTGATACGCTAATATGAGATCGCCGCGCAGCCTTCGATAACGTCCGCTGAAAATTCCCAACAACTTCAGCCTTCGGTGGTAAGAGTGATACCGCAGGCCCATCACGTTCTTTGTTGCTCTCCGTTGTGGTGCCTCTATCGCTTCTAGGTCGCGTTTCAACCAAGGTTGCCAAGCTTGGATTGCGTACTCAACTTGCGGGCGCACGTAGGAATTGAGGATCATTGGGAAGATTGATGGGTCAAATCTCCCGAATGCCCTTCGCAGCATGCCGACGTGCTGGTTGCCCCTTTTCGCAGCTACCTCAGCCTGTTTTGAACAGTTGAGGTCGCTCTGTACGATCACACCAAGATCACGTTCCTGGGAGCTATTCTGCAATTCGTTTGTCCCAAGCTTGTAGGTGTAGTTATGTCTATGGCGTAATTGTACTACGCGACATTTGTCTACGTTGAACGGTAGAGCGTTTTGAAGTGACCAGTTCGACACTGTGTTAAGATCGTGCTGGAGCCGTTCATGGTCATCCGGTCCTCTGATCCTTCGCCATATCTTGATATCATCAGCGAAAAATAAGAAATCGGAAGTAATTGATCTCGCCAAATCGTTAATGAACACCAAGAATAGACGAGGTCCAAGAACCGAGCCTTGTGGTACTTCACACGTCACGTCGATTGCATGAGAAAATGATTCTCGGACTCTCACCACTAGCCGTCGTTCTTGTAGAAAATTGCTAATCCAACTCAGGATTGGATCGCCAATGCCGTAGTTCCGAAGCTTCTGAAGGAGAACTCGATGGTCTAAACGATCAAACGCTTTGGAAAGTCCAGGTAGATGACATCGACTCCAACTCCATCATCAACAGCTTCAGTCCAGCTATTACGTGCAATTAATAGGTTAGTATTACACGAATGCTTTTGACGAAAGCCATGTTGCTCTGGGGCTATTAAATTGTGGCTTTCCAGGTATTGCATCAGCGCGTCTGCGACGATTGATTCCATCACTTTGGATAGTACGGGAAGTAATGTTATTGGACGGTAGTTCGCAGGATCAGTGCGGCTACCTCCTTTATGGATAGGAGTGATGACCCCTTGCTTCCATACTGGTGGAATAAGGTTTTCCTCTAGACATCGCTGATAGAAAACAGTTAGTGGTTCTGCTAGATCACTAGCTACTGCCTTTAGAGCCTTTGGACGGATGTTATCAGCTCCGGGAGAACTGTGGATACGCAAGGATAACAATTTCTTCAACACAGCCTCCGTAGTGAAGGTGATGTTTTCTAAACCAAACGGTGGAGTATTAGAAATGAGGTGAATGTTTGGGCTCGACACTTGTTGGAACGTTTGAGAGTAATGAAGCCGTAGGATATCAGCTGCTTCCATTGCTGACCGCGTGTATCCATCAGCTGTGACTAGCGCCGGAACCCCTCGCTTTACCTTTCGAAGGCCGTTAATGTGCCTATACAGGAGTTTGTGGTTAGTGCAGAATCGCTTCATTAACTTCTGCTGATGCGTGACCTTGTCCTCGCGGATCAGTTTCACACAGAAGTTACGATGTGTCACGTATGCAGTCCAGGTTTCGGCATTCGGGCAACCCTGGTGATTTCGCCATGCCAAATCCCTCCGGGACATACATTTACGTGTTCTGCTCCTCAGAATTGACTTACTCTGGTTTTTGGGTTGGAAGGACTTCTGTTCCGATGCTTGCGCTACCAGTGTGCTCAAAGTCCTTGTAAACATTTCCCAGGCCAAATCTGGGGGGCATTCGAATAAGAAAGTCCAAGATGTATCCTTAACAAGCTTGGACAACACATTGTAGTGCGTGACAGTGTGCACTTTATCCTCCTCCTTTTCCGGGTACTCGGCATAGCATATATAATCAAAGAGTAGAGTGACATGATCACTACGACCCAGTGGTGTGCTTGTAACTATCCCGCCAACCATGAGTTCTTCGTTAGTTAGCACAAGATCTAGTATCGACGGCTTGTTAGAAGTTCGAAATCTGGTGGGAGAGGTTACGTGGTTGTAAAGAGGGTGGATAGCAATAAGTTCTTGCAAACAAGCTTTAAACTGCGTACCGTCAGTTGCCGGCGTTTCTATGTCGTGCACGTTAAAGTCTCCCGCGATAAGAATGTGGGTGTAGGACTTGTTCAAAGCAAACTGAAAAACGTGGTACAGTTTGGAGTCCATTTCCGACGTTGAGTTTGGCGGGCGATAAACCACGGCTAGTAGACATGTGTCCTTGTTTCGCAACCAAAGGCGGCACCAAAGCGAATCGGGAGCTCGGATTTCTGGGTGATCGATAACTTCACATCGGAGGCTTGTATTATAGTAAAGAATCACACCGCCACCCATTCCGGTTCTATCGGTCCGAAGCAGCGACATACCGGGTAACTTGATCTCACAGTCGGTTATCTCAGGGTTTAACCATGTCTCTGTAATCATGACGAGGTCGCGTGGTTGTGAGGCATGGAGTTCTCTAAGTTCGGCCAACTTGCTTCGAAGGCCTTGAGCGTTTGTGTAAATGCAAGATAGGGCTTTTGTGGTTAGGAGTTCATTGGTGGATGTCAAGTTTGTGTTCGCTTTTAAGCCGGCCGTTAGGTGGCCGGCAATTAATCGTTTTTTGGTTTGTGTATTTCAGTCGTGTTACATGACATTATTGAGCGTTCCTGAACTGATGGTTCACTCGTGCTGTGCTCGGTCCTCCTGTGTGACGTGGGCGCTGTTGTGTCGATCTCTCCGAAGGACAGTGCAAATAAAGAATTTGCAGGATTTGCAAGTTCCATCGAATTTCTTCCGACTTTTGGTCGTTCGCCTGCTGCCTTTAGCCGTATTTCTGTTGGCAACCTAGCTCGAAACTTTAACCAGCTATCCAACAGAACTTGCGTCATTCCCTCAGAGTGTAGTATTACCTTCATTAGCCTAGGACCGCAGCCCTTGTAGTTAGGTGACAACGGAACTCTTGTTAGGGATTTGGCAATAACATTGTTAACACAGAGTGCTTCGCGGATGTAGCACCACTGTTCTCGGTCATGTGTATGTGCATCGTGATCAAAAGCATGCAGAAGCTCGGGAACACCATGAACAAATATTGTTTTCTTGCTATCCCTAGTAGCAATACCGCGTTGCTCCACTGCTTCTTTTGTGCGGTCTTTCCAAGGTAGCTCAGGTAATATGCGCACTCCGCTCGGTGAGTTGCGAAGACGAACTGCTGAGAGCAGGACAGCCTCTGTCTCAGCTGCTGAGTTTAGAGTTACTCGAAGAATTCGAGGTTCACCAGAGTGCACTGAGGTCGGGTGACGTGCTACGCGTTGCAGCATTGCAGGCTCAACCCGAATACCAATCGCCTCGCAGATGGAACTCCACTGGTTGCGATCGTCTTGCAACTTGCCTTTTATTGTGCCAGATTTGGATTCGGGAACATTGGTGCACACGAGAGTTAGCGCAGCGTGGTTTTTTCTAGCGAGTGTTGGCTTTATACTTTTTGCCGGCAATTCAGGTTGTTTAGAGGGCACCACTGGAGTCGACAGTGAAAGCTGCTTTGCGCCACGCGTGCTCGGTACTGCAGATGAACTTGTGTGTGTCGCTCCCGGTGTGTTTGTCGATGCAATCGATGCGTACGTTACCTGCTTGTTATCTGCACCGGATTTCCTTCGGCTGTGAGCTATCGGTGTCATGGCTGAATCTCCAAGTGAAGCGTCTATGGTTGGAGAAGTGGACGCAGGCATGTTTGAGGCTTGCCCAATGATGGGAGTGAGGTGACCCAGTGGGTTTAGAGTCACAGAGGCTGCAGTGCGGTTGGAGCGTCTAGCTCTTTCCTTCGGTTTAGACGCAGAACTAACTTTGACCGGGTGAGGTATTATCGTGGCCATATTTACCTCCGAGGGAGCGACCTTAGTATTTACAAATTGTGCGATTATTTCAGTCATCCTATCGCATTTTTTCATTAGCAATGATAAACAGTTGACAACTGGAATCACTTGACATGATGGGCAAAACCAAATTGTGTCAGCAACTTGGTTTGTCTGTCTCACTTCTTGGACAGATTTGCCTGCACATTGCGGGCAGTACGATTTAATGCAGCTGGAACAGGTGATACTGATCTTAAGGACTTTACTGCAGTTGTCTGCACAACATAGGCGACGCTGAACCATAGGAATGCTGGTCCGGTAAATTACCGAAAATAATTCTGACTCAGAATCTCACTCGCTTTGCTGCATCTGCAAATCTATATTAAGCATCTTGAGGAAGAGGGTTCAGGTCGTTTATATACGGCAGAAATAATTTGGACCCAGTAGTGATCCGTGTGTCATGCCGCACTAGACAAGAGCTGTACGAACACATTTATCACCAATTCTAACACGACACTTCTCACACAAATGAAGTACGACACCAAAATTTGAGGTTTATATTGCAATCCAAATTTCTTATATAAAAAAGCGGTGATTTGTTGTGTCGAAAGTTTTGCTGAAATCGAGTTAATACACCATCATCGGAATCCTTTTATCAAACCATGGAGTAGTGACAGTTGACAACAGCAATTTAGTGTGACGCGTCTTCATCTTATAAAAACCTTGCTGTTCCGTTGCAATTGGATTAGGTTCCGCCAAATGATTCTAAATTCTGTATATTATAGGCTTTTCTAACCACTTGAAAAAGACAGTCCAGACCGATAGGTCTGTAGTTAAAGGTCGCCAGTATAGAGCATCCTTTGTGGATCGTAGCTAAGGTTGCCCACTTCCAATCATGTGTTAACTTACATTCCTTAAACGACAATTTGAATAATTCCGTGACAGGACGCTGAGGAATATCAGCCAGTAATTTGGCTATGTTCGTGGATAATACCCATGTATATTTACAAGATTCGAGACGAACGCTTGCTGAATGAGCATTGTCTGGACCGGATGATCTGAAGGGGTTCAAGTTAGCCATCAGACGTTACACCGCTCGTCCAATCAAAACGATCTCCTGCATTATATGACTGCCCAAGAAATCCACTAGCAAGTCGCTAATTACGATGCTCTACCAAAAGAAAGTCGCTGTCAAGACAGACACATTGGCGTGCGCATAATACCTCATCAGCTCAACCCAATTGTTTCTCAAACGGTAGCAGTTTGTATACCATTCACTTCGTCATTCTTGACGCGGTTGTTTACCCTCTAGCGTTAAGCCAGACGAGACACCCCGTTGTTTGATTCTGCTACATTGCCAGTAACCACATGAAAGGATAGACCAAGTATGGGCTCATTTGACTTATCACGGCAGGAAAACTCTTTCGGTTTAACCCGAAGTAACTTGTTTAAACACCACACCGGATTCTTCCTATTTAACTTACTAGGACAAACAAGGCTATATTTCAGATATTCTGAAAAATATACCTTGGGAATTTCTGGATTTTTGTCTTCAATACTGTCTGTGCGGTGGTTGTAGCGGCCATGTGCTCTGGTGCAAATGGTGCTGTACGTGCAGCTTTAACTGTTCCTGGATGCATCGTTTGAAAGCTCATATCCGCATCATCGCTTCTTTCCTCGGGTAAGGATATATAATTCAGTTACAATCTGGTCAACGTTCTTCATAGCCAAATGCGGGTTGAATGCATATATATATATATATATATATATATATATA